TACTGTGCCGTCCCTGCTCTCCTTGCGAAGTCTTGTTTTGCCTAGCAGACATTTCTGAGATTTTTCCCTGTGTTGATTCCCTGTTTATTACCTGGACTGATTTCCCGATTACGACTGCTTGCTGCCTACCTATTCTGACCCTGCCTGCCTTGTTGATTCTTGCCATTGTTTGTCTGCCGCCTGCCTCGACCCTTATAACGAACTCTGTTTACGATTCTGCCCAGCCTTCGTTGTGTCTGACACCTGTTGACGATTTATGCCTGTATGACCTGCCTTGTGATCTAATAAAGCTGCACATGGATCCTAACGCCACTGCCTCTGTGTTACAGAAGACTTCGCCAGAAATCGATCCAGCAGCGTTCTATCACTTCACCACAGAGGTATCTGCTCAAGCATCGGTTATGGTCACACACCAGCAACAATTAAACCGACTTACCTCGCTAATGGAAGAGATGGTAAAGACCTTGCAAGCCCTTCGTCTGCAAGCACCCGAAGCCCACGCCTCTCCTCCGAATCCACCGCTTCAAGCCCCGGTTTCACCTACCTCCATCGCCAGCCCTCGTTTGGCGTTTCCCAAGAAGTTTGATGGCTCACCCTCCAAATGTAAGGGTTTCTTACTCCAATGTTCCATGTTTGTTCACCAACAACTCATGTTGTATTCCACAGACGATAGCCGCATCGCGTTTGTCTGTTCGCTTCTCACTGGAAGGGCGTTGGAGTGGGCTACGGCAGTGTGGAATGAGAATCAGGCGGTCTTTCCTTCCTTCTTGGCTTTCATCCAGCAGTTCAAGGAGGTGTTCGAACATCCCGCGGATGGAAAGGAGGTGGGCGAGCAATTGTTGTCGTTACGCCAGGGCAGAGCATCGGCGTCGGATTACGCTCTCTCGTTCCGCACTCTCGCCGCACAAACAGGTTGGCCGGAGGATCCTCTCAAACTACACTTTCGCAGAGGTCTGAGCATGGAACTGCTATCTGAATTAGCCTGTCGAGACGAGGGGAGATCCTTGAATCAATTCATTGAACTGGCCATTCGGATCTATAACCTTCTTCGCTCTCATCGTCAGACGCGGCTCTCTTCGGCTCCAGTCGGCGCGTCATCACCACTTCCTGACACAGAACCTATGCAGATTGGCTTTACTCATCTCAGAGGAGAGGAGAGAGAGAGACGTATTTGCCAAAATCTGTGCCTATATTGCGGACTGTCTGGACACATGAGAGCTTCCTGTCCCACTCGGCCACCTCGCAATCCTTCTCCGGTGAGTTCGAATTTCAGTACTTCCACTGCTTTAGAGATTCCAGTCATCTTAAAAGTTAATGGACAGATCACTGAGGCTATGGCTTTGATTGATTCAGGAGCTGCAGGAAATTTAATTGACGCTAGTTTTGCAAAAACTCATAATATTCCTCTTGTTCCCTGCACGTCTCATTTGGCAGTGGCAGCTCTAGATGGCCGTCCGCTGGGCACTGGCCAAATTCAATTCACTACCACGGACCTTCAATTATGCACTGGAGCTCTTCACACCGAATCTATCCGTCTCTTCATATTTCAATCTTCACAAACACCTATCATTCTGGGACTGCCTTGGCTAGAGAAGCACAACCCCTCTATCTCATGGTCCGAGGGACAGATTACACAGTGGTCAGAGTCCTGCCGTCAGAATTGTCTCAACGCTTCACCGGTCAGAAAGGAGAGGAATTGCACGCCTGTCAGCCAACTTCCTGCTGACAACCGCACCCATCTTGTACCATCCTGACCCAGAACGAGAGTTCATTGTGGAGGTGGACGCATCCAGCACGGGCATTGGGGCAGTTCTCTCTCAACGACATGGTAACCCGCCTAGGTTATATCCCTGCGCCTTTTATTCCCGTAAATTTAATTCCACTGAGCAGAATTACGATGTGGGCAATCGAGAACTTCTGGCCATGAAGGTCGCCTTTGAGGAGTGGCGTCACTGGCTCGAGGGGGCCAAACACCCCTTTACTGTACTCACCGATCACTGCAATCTGGAATATCTGAAATCAGCCAAAAGACTCAATCACAGACAGGCAAGATGGTCACTGTTCTTCACCAGATTCAACTTCACAATAACCTACCGTCCAGGCTCTCAGAACACTAAGGCGGATGCTCTATCTCGACTCTATGAATCTTCCACAATGTCTCCCAGTCAGGAATCCATCATTCCGTCTACCATCATTCTCGCACCCGTACAATGGGACATCATGACTGAGATCACAGACGCCCAGGGCACCGAACCACCTCCAGCTGAAACTCCACCTAACCTCATAT